GTTTTGCTTTCGGATCCGCTGTTGGCTGCGTTTTTTCTACCTGTTGAATGAAAATACTTTTGTAAGTCTTTGTGCATTTTTGAAAACATTTTAAATGGAACCTGCGTAGTAATTCGACGTATGATCGTTAGTCTTCTTGATCTTTCAGAAAAATAATACACTATATTCTGGAAAAAGAGAGAACAGTAAGACGAACCTGATGAGTAAACATCTGGTTCACGAAGATACAGTATAACTTCAGGTGAAATAATTTGAATGAAAATTGTCAAGGAATTTTTAATTTGTGATGCTCAATATGTGAAAGATTCTGATACGAGCATATGTGTAACATATGCTTTCTATTGTTGCATGCTCTTTGTGCACGTATTTTATTTTTCTGCAGGAAATATTTTGTAGCTCCAAAATTGAATGACAAATCAAATGCCTCGTCAAATCGACTTCTCAAACTGATTACACCGTTCAACCTGTATACCTTTAAAATAATCCTGTGCTAAATTTTTTTTGCGAGTTGGAATCAATGGAAATCGCATTTATTCAATACAAACTGTGACTGCGTACAAGTGGAACGACCCGATTTACTGACAAGATATTCATGCATAAATTGTCTGCTTGTTTCTCTTGACTTACGAAAATCATGACCGCGTCTTGACATTTTCAGGAGGAATTCCTTCAACGACTTGACTCATCATTAATCACGTTTTATCCATAACTAGTCTACAGTACAGTACAGTACAGTACATTACTTACTTTTTCCGTGAATGTGTCTTGGCAAAGCATTCTGATCCGCTCGGAAGTTGCCGGCGAATCGAGTTGGAAGTGGGCAGTAATCCCATTTTGCTTCCGGTATTCTGCAATCGCTTCTCGCACAGCGAAGAAAATCGAGGCTGACAAAAACAAAGGCGGTTCTCCAACGGCCTGAAAAATAATCATCTTATGAAATCGATCGGAAGTAAGACGCTGGAATTGTGTGAGGGAAAAACAAAGTGATTCTCCTTTTCATCAAGGATCCTGCCAAGATGTCAAAATCTGAGCAGTGGAGCTTTTTGCAGGCTCAGTCACTTTTCTCTATATATTTGCAAAAATATAAAGTACCGAAAGAGAAAGTTGAAATATAAAATATACAAAATGAGTACCTGAAAAAAATAAGTACTGGATAACGAACCTGGCGTAACCTCGTCCAGAACTTTTGAGACTCATTTTTTTGAAGCTTATCTGCTGTTTTACTCCATTTATGAATGATTTTATGTTTTCGTGTACATGATATATTTTTTCACGTACAATATTACCTTGCGAAGAAAAATATAACTGACGAGATCAAACGGAAAATTAAATTCCGTCATTTGATACCTGCTCATTTGAATCTTGCTCATTTTATAAGTGCTCTTCTCAAGCACGTTATTTTTTTTGTGTGTACAGACCATTTTTCAACATAATTATCCAAATATCACATGCCATTTAAGTAAAACAGACAGCACTTTGATTTCTTGAAAGAATAATTTGAACAAAACCTGTCCCCGTAAATAGAGCACAGCCCAATATTTCCACAACAATAAGACGCATATTATGGAATTAAAGATACATAAAACCGAAACGAATTTTGGCTTATATGAAAGATAAATATAATTTTTTTATTTGTGCTTATATATCTCACGTTATATGTCAAATAATAGGAAAAAAAGTTGCCTCTGAAAAAGTTGGCCACAATTCACGCACAAAAAAAAAAACAATCATTCAAATTAAAATTTCTCTCATCCTAATTCCAACTTCGAAATATTTTGACTTACTTTTCTTGACTTGATTTTCTGAGGGGCACATTTGTATGTCATGTATATTTTTGTTTACTACCTTGGAAGAGTAAATGGCGTGAGGATTCGGTGCCCCTTTCAGCAAAGCCACGTTGAACACTTCCGGAATGTCCCGAGACGACGGGATCTTGTATGTAGACGGCCCCAGGGTCCTGATTTGTCCCTCGGGTCCGAATTCCAGGTCCTCCAGCATCCAATAACCATAGCCCTGAATGAAACCGCCTTCGATTTGACCCACGTCCACGGCGGGATTGATGCTGTCGCCAACGTCAAACACGATGTCTGTTCTCAGCACCTTTATATAGATTAGAAAATAAAAAAAATTGCATTCAAAAATGACGAACACCGACATCACCGCTATTTTGTCAAAAGATTTTAAAGAAATGTCAGGACGGAATTTTGTCAAAGAACGACACCTTGTGATCGCCGGTCAAACAATCCACTTCAACTTCGGACACCGCCGCTCCGAAAGAGTGATACACGTTGCTCGGGCCTTTCTTCTCGGGGTCTTTAAGCTCGAAGAGTCCCAGGACTTTTGGTGAGCTTTGAATAAAAATAAATAAATAAAACGAAAGCGTTTAACTGGATGATATAACAAGAATAATCTTCCTTGAGAAACGCGCCACACGATGATTACAATGAAATTCCGTTACAAAACACTTTTGGGGATTTAGGACAAAATGTATAACGACGAATAATTTAATGTAACGAGATCTTCAGAATTAACGACTGTAAACACATTTTCACATCAGGTCTGCCTATATAATCAATTATATCTTGCTTTTCTGGCATTTTCAGATTTTTTCATTACTGTTTGAAAAAACTTCAGAAAAAAAGTTTCAATATCATATTCCATCAGTTATTGCACCAATCTCTTCATTCTTTATGTAGAACCACAGGGAAGCACGTTTGCCATTGATTAAACAGCCTCCATCCATGCTACAAGAATAAATAACATTTGAGATTGGAAATTTCAGACTGTGCCTGTCACAGGAAATTTCCACCTAGACAATTCATTAACCCTCTGCTGACGGCAGCGGGTCAATACATTTTTGCACACGAGCGACTTTGGCTGAGTATCCAAAATCCAGAAGAAAACTGGTAAAGTGAAACCCATTGTGCTGGAAATCCCTCAACGCTAATCCTTCAACAGAAATGGGAAGCAATGTGAAGGATTTTGTTAGGGAAATTTTTCTGCAGAAGAAGAAGAAAAAAAACAGAAATTTTCCAGACTTTGGCTCTTCTGATGACACTAGGTTTCTTTCAAAATTTTTTTTAATTGTGAAAATAAATTCTGGCACTGCTGCCCAAGGGNAAGATTGCATTGTCATCAGTTTCTAGGCTATCCTGAAAGTTTCAGCTTGATAGCTAGTCGGGAAGTGAGTGAAATTTGAGTTTCAAAATTTGATCCGGACAAACAAACAGACAAGAAAGTGAGTTAATAAAAACGTGTTAATTAATTAGAAAAAAAAATGTTCCAGGGGGTGGGATTGAACTCAGACCTCTGCAACCAATTCAGTTCACCATGGGTTTTTTTCTTAGGGCCAAGGAAAACCTGCTCAAAGTTTTATTATAGAAATCTACTATAATTATTTTATTCTTTTTAAAAAATATTCTTAAAATTAATTTTTTCACAAAAGATTGTATTGTCATCAGTTTCTAGGCTATCCTGAAAGTTTCAGCTTGCTAGCTAGTCTGGAAGTGAGTGAAATTTGAGTTTCAAAATTTGATCCAGACAAACAGACAGACAAGAAAGTGAGTTCATAAAAACGTGGTAAAAACTATAGAATGTTAGTAATAATGACGCCCATTCTTTTAATACTCGAAATTTTCATAATATCGGGTATTGTCTAATTGTACACGACATTTAATTTTCGAGATGGTCATAAATGAGAGGCAACCACCATATAAAAGTCTGAGGAACATTATGCGCGCAATAAGATTATATGACGCAATCTCAATATTTTGGCGAAAAGAAATTTTCGAATGATTCTCCATCAAGTGGATAAAAGCCCATTTGGAAGATTACTCACCAGTAATATCCTGTTGACGATAAGCTGACACAATCCATATAAGCTGCTTTGACCCAACCCTCCCAATTTCCTTTCGGGTTCTCGCGTATATAAGGCTCCATGCGGTTCAAAATCGTCTCACAGGCTTGCTGTACAAATAAAGGATACCACAAATGTACAAACTCATTATACATTGCTCAATTATTACTACAGCATTAAAGGAGTATCGGAAGGCACCGAAAATAAAAGAAAAGGGCATAAGTACCTGGACAGCCGGTCCGTTGAGGTCAGTACTGAACGACGCAGCTGTTGACGTTGTGTTTGGTACTTTATCAGTACCCACTTCTGAGGTGTGAATGTACTTTGGCGGGATTTTCAAGGCTCTGCTTGCCACCTGCGTGTTTTATTACGCATGAAAACAATAAAACATTCGTGGTTCTTCAGTATTGAAGTCAAGTCGGATCTTCAGCCGACAAGAAACGTGGGATTTCATTTTATGTCGTATAGGTGTCGCCCGAAGTTCGCGATACTTCAATGGTCCATCCGTCAGTCCGGGCACAGTATAGGAAAAGCTTCGGTATGATTGTTGTAACTGAAGTTAAGGTCGGCTTGAATTAGGTAAGGTTCGGCCAAGTACGTCTACAATCATTCAACTTTTTTTTTTCGAAGTCCTGTAAGCGATTCAAGCGTAAATGACTGTCCGATTTTCCAGAAAACAACGTTATAAAGCTTTCGGGAGTAAAAAAAAAAAGCTTTGCTGATTCCAGATACTGCATCCCTCGATCAGACTTGATTTCTTATTGTGAAGCGTTCCCAGTTGAATGATTAAATAGAATAGCCAGACTTTCAAAATAAAAACCTGAATCATTTTGGTATGCAGTCCTTGTCCCATTTCGACTCCGCCATGTGTGACAAGAACAGAACCATCCTTGTAAATATGCACCAATGCACCACCTTGGTTCATGAACGACGCCGTGAACGAAATACCGTAGGTTTCTGGGATAATGGAAATGGCTCGTTTGCGCCACTTGTTTTCCCTGTGTAATAAAATGACCGATTACGTGAATTTCTCAAAAACGTGATCATATGATGTGTATATGTACAATATTGCATTATTGATCAAGGGGTTGTATAATGCTTCTTTATTATTAGAAGTCCAGTACGCAACTCAACATACAGTCGAAAAAAGACATCGCAATAGAAAGAAAATCAAATACTTTAATCTTAAAATTTCCATAAAATGAACAACTGCATGATGGTGATACCAGCACTTCATCAACTACTGTCACAATATTCGGAAAGCACCTTGTTCAGTTTTAGGGGACTAATTAAATTTTAATCGAGAACTCCGGAATTTATTTTGAATACTTTTGAAACGCACGGAAACGTAACATTCACGGCAGAAGAATTTGATTCTTTCCACTGAGTTTACTCGAGATGTTTTCAAGTTAATTTCTGTTAATGTTTTTAACGTACAGCTACAGCATAAAAATTACAACTTATTATACCTGTTGAATTTTTCGCAGGCGGAAAATCGTTCGTTGAATTGGCTGTTTTCAAGCACTTCCTTCCAACATCGCTCCAACGTCACATTGGTCAGAACTTGACCGTAAAACAGCTTGCAACCCTCGGCTTTCAAATTCATTTCTCTGAACTGGAAAATAAGACTCACTTTTCAAATCGAAATTCTGAAGGGAAATCGTCATTGGGAAAGAATGCACGAAATTAATAGACTGTGGGCGGGGGTCGAAATAACATACGGTATCTATATAAAACACGCGTAGAAAATTACTTGAGAGAAAAATGCTCTTGCAGCAAATTTTCTATGCTGTATAACTTAACCCGTGCAATAAACTGTTATGACATTTGTTGAGGAGAAAACGAGAGAGGAAACCAATGAAGGTTTCCTCCTCAATCAAAAGTACAAATAATTCAATTTTAAGCATCTCAGTCTGTCCAAAACTCTGAACAACAATTATCCTTTTATTCCTGGTGATTTGTGTGCACAAATCTGTTACTCCTGTGCTATTATTCAAATCCGTCTTGTGCATTGTATTTTTATTCTTTGAATTCAACTCAATTATAAAATAAATTATTGAAAAACTAGGAATATATATTCCAAGGAAACCCCTTGAATATGTGTTCTTGGCCTTAAAGGCTGATTGCCTGCATTTTTATTTTTATTATTTTGTGATCCTTGATCACAACATTTATTCCAACATGAGTTTTGTTTCGAAAGGTTTTAAATCCTCTGAAGACCGAAATAAAAAAGAAAAAAGAAGAATGAACAGGAATTTGGCCCTGGATTAGTTTCTTCAATACCGTGGTTTGATGAATGCCGAGTTTATCGGCCATGTGAGACATGAACTGCTCACAGATCATCATGCTTTGCATGGCACCAAAGCCTCGAAAGGCCGTATTTGAAGGCAAGTTCGTTCTGCAAACTCTGCCACGAACTCGAACGACAGGGATTTCATAGGCATTGGTGCAATCCAACATTGATTTCTCCATTACCTAAAAAAAAAACAAAAATGTGGGATTATCTCGAAATTAAATCGGGATGTGGGGAAAATGACATAGAATTCGACGATAAATTCGATGCTGTTAAGTTTTCAATCCGAGCTCTGCTGATAATTAAGATTCACACATTTCAAATTGAATTTTTTCTGCTGAGCATTCCCCCAAAAAATGACACTGCAGTTAAAGATGAGACTCGTTCCGAACAAGAAATTTAAATACAATTTAGGAATAAGAAAAAGCACGAGAACTTGACACTTGCGCAGGAACTATGTACTCTATGTGTTTGGTTCAAAAAAGTAAGGGCCACAAGTTGGAAACGGCTTGAAATTTAATTTTTCGAAGAAATCTTCCTCCAAATTGTATTTGAAAAATAGATTCGGAAGTATGTCCTTGAGAACATCTGGCTCTTACGGTTTTTTTTCTTCAAAGTTATTGGACCACAGCAGGCCTCAAAATCGTCCTGATATTAAGTTTCAAATAAATGAAGAAATATTCAGTAATTCGTGATTTTACATTGAAAATGCAGGGCGATGGCTTTTTTTCCAGTCAGGGATTTATTTTAAAATTTTTAGAAGATTGAGGTTACTGAGGCTCATCTGCAAACTGATTCAAGAAAACATGGAATGCTTTTGAGAAAGAAAGCATCGAAAATTCACTCTGGAAGTTTTTTCCAGTCAGGGAGTTATTTGTACATTTTTAGAAGATTGAGGTTACTGAGGCTCATCTGCAAACTGATTCAAGAAAACATGGAATGCTTTTGAGAAAGAAAGCATCGAAAATTCACTCTGGAAGATCAACAAATGCTGATGAACTAGAAAGTCCTTCAATCAGAGCATTTTCTAAAAAATAGTGTTCGTTTACTACTGTGTTAAAATGTAGGTCTTATATTCAGAGGCATTCATCTATTTAATCTAATATTAAGAAATGCTTATCTTGAAGTGCAGTAAAACAAATTTCCTCTCGCAGAAGCTCACATTTCAAGGCAAGAACGCAGACATTTGTCAATGGTGTTTGAATCCCTCTACAATAAACTGCGTGTGATTAAATTATTCAGTTGTTTATAGCGATTGTTTCACGCTCTTTTTTTTTACGATTTGTGCTAGAAATATAAACTTCTTCCATGCTGATAAGAAATCATCAATTATTCATCAGCATATTTACTCACAAAGGGAGATAAATCTTGACTGTAGCCAGCATTCGAAAACAAGTTCAAATCCAGTCCCAGCAATTTTCCATTGCTGTCAGCTGCGAGTTTGTAAACCCCAAGGAATCCGTGACGTTGTCCCGACATCCTGATGTCGTCAAATCGCTCCAAAAAGGTGAAGATTGGCTTCCCGAACCTTCAAAATTTTAATTTGCACAAAACTTTGATTCCAATAAGCTAGTGGTCCCCAACGCGTGGTCCGCGGACCGGCGCCGGTCCGCAAAAGTTTTTTTGTCGGTGTGCGGGAAATTTTATTAGCATAATACTGTGCATTCATCAAAATTAGCAATTGAGTCCGTTATCTTTGTCTAAAATTTTGGAATGAGAATGGTACGTGAAATTAACCGGTGAAAAATTCAAGTTAGATTTTCTCCTGATAACTCTTCAGACAAATTTCCGGGAGCTGAAAAAATTCCATTCATTTTCCAGTCTGAAAAACCTTTCTCAAGCATACCTTTCCAATTTTTTGATGATAGTTCACTATAGATGCTTCATTGATTCTTAACTTAATTTTTGCAAAAAAGCAGAAAACATTTAAAATATCTGCTGTGACGTCTTCAAACAAAATTATGTTGCATCTGCAAAATTCTGGGGAATTTCGCCAGTCCGCAGAAAATGTTCGGAAATTTGCAGAGTACGGAAAGTTATTTTCGGAAATTTGCCAAGTCTACGGAAAGTTTTCTGGAACTTTGCCAGTCCGCAGGTCCAAAAAGTTTGGGGAACACTACAATAAGCCATACTAATACCCAATATCACTTGAATTATCCGAGGTCCAATCAATCGAGAATTATTTCAATCAGTCGAGAATTATTTCAATCAATCGAGAATTAT